TGCAGTATGCCGTTGCTGTTAGCTCTTTCAACATGCCCAACCCTGAACAGTCGCTAATCCGCTATTAAGTTTTGCTGTTCATGAGCAGCTCCGAAAAGTATCAAGACAAGATAAGCGACGGGAGGAAAATAATCATACTATTGTACTGGCAGCGCCAAAAATTTAAAAAAGTTTTATTAATTTTTATGCGTTTTTTATAACAGTAGCGGAGAAAACATATTTTGTCGAGACCTTGACTATGATGTGTGTGTATTTATCTGTGTGGGTACAGATCTTTGCCCGGCATTTTCAACAAAGCCAAAACCCAGGAGAGCAGAAATTCAGACGAATGTTTCCTTTCCATGTGCAGCCAAAAAACTTAAATTCAGCTTCCACGTAAATCAAAGTTCTTAGTATGAACATTCTAAACTTCTGACTTTTACGAAATTTGCTAGTTATTGAAACAGGAAAGTTACGGCTCTGAAATTTTAGGAGGATATTTCTTATACGTAGTCAAATATTTCAAAATCAGCTCCTAAACGTATATTTTTCATGTGCAACAACGTGAAATTCTGGGCAAAAAATTATTGGCGCCCTTTTAACTCGGAAATTAGGCAAAACTGAAAACAAAATTTCAAGAGGACGTTTCTTATTTAGGACCACTTTGGAAATTCAGATATGACTTTCTTGTATGCCTGCTTCTCATTTACAGACATGTGAAATTTTGAAAGAAAAATTTTCTCGTAGGTGAACCAAACATTTCCTTGCTTCTGATTGCATGATTAATTGCAAGCAACTATTGAACAGAAATGCGCAAAACATATGCTTGCTGCAGCTACCTGAGGTGCTCCGTTATCCGTTACTGGTAGAGGTACATAAAGCACTTATGTTTCAGGGTGACGCGTACTTAATGGCCAAAAGTTAGAAGCTTTGAAACTCAGAAACGTAGATGCGCCTTATTTTTGCGTACTGGTAGCGTCTACGGATGGCGCATTTGCAACAATGCATGGCACATGCGTCGTGGATTAAGATCATGAATGTTTTGCAAGAAGATTTGAGCAACTTAACGAAACCTATTATACAGCCTTGAAAGACAAATATCCATCAGTTGCAACAGAAATCGACGAACACAAGCAGGCATGCACCGAAAATGATCTCAAATATCGCAAACGTCAAATTACCCTCAGCGAATGGTTCTCAATGGAAATGACAGAAGAACAGCGCAGAAAGCTGGTTCGCGTTTTTCAAGCCGAGGCGAACATTTCGCATGTTCACTTCGACTGGAGCACCGAAAAGTTTTTGCTCGATTAGCTGGCGCTGCTGAAAAAGCTAGTTAACAGAAGTTTTCAAAATTTCACTGCGTTTAAATCTGTTCAGTTCGTTCTGTGAAAAAAAGATTACTTTGTTAAAAATCGCTAATTCTACAGTCGGCGTGAGATGACGATTTAGCAAGACAATCACATTTCGGCAGCACTACATAAAGTTTCTCATGAAATTAAACTTAAAATGTTGGTAGTGATGTTGAGTAGCAATACAATTGAAAAATACAGTGTTGGTTAAAATTTGGGGAAAAAATTTGTTAGGATATGTGAGGACAAAGAAAAATTTTGTGGCACATCAATATCAAAAGGATTAACAAGCACACCAATATTTAGTTTAAAATGACAATGCATTAAAAAAGATTGGAATGAAGAAACTGACATGAAACAACAACAAGTTGAAAATAACGTAAGATTGGATTAAAAACTTGTATCAGTTTTTTATCTAATCTTAAGTTATTTTCAACTTGTATCAGCCTGTATCAGTGGATCTGGTGCGTTCATGCATTTTGTGTAATTCTGTCCAGCAAAAGGTCACTGTTAAAAATGTTCACTGCTTAGAATGCACAGAATTCGTCGGGTTTTTGTACCGGCTAAAATTCTGATGTGTCCACACGTTAGACATAGGTGTGCATAAATCTGAATCCTAGAGTCGCATACGGCCGGCAAGCATCCTTCTGGAATTTCAACCTTTTATCCGGTTTTGAAGTTGTGTATCTTCCGCTTAGCTTCATCCGTAGGTAGAAGTAGGCATGTGCAGAAGCTTTCGGCATTACACATGGGCATGTAACAATTCTCCTCTTAAAATTCAAGTTTTCTAGCATTCTGGTTCTCGAATTAACGATTTTCGCACCAAAACTGCTTGCTTGTACTTTTGAGAAACATATTTGTCAGAAGTTACATTTCTGTGCAGAAACTGACAAAATCTTTGAAACTAAGTTTGCTTGACTTCCAAGTTAAAAAAAACCAAAGAGACAAACACAGTTACACACACACACACACACACA